AAAGTATAATTTTTTAGAAAAAGTAGAGGATATAAGTTACTTTTATGCACGATGACATTATAATATGACAATTATAACAAAAATTCTTTGACGTAAACGTCTTTTTATAGCCCGCGGGCGTTATTATGACCCAGCGGGCTATAATGAAACGTCAAAAATTAAAAACAACAATGTTACACCATTTTATATATTCGAAGTAAGTTTTTTCGTATAAAGATTTTGATTTTTCCGGCAGCAGGCCGCAATTTTTTGCCTTTTCAGCTTCTTCCTCAATTTCATTCATCTTTAAACTTTAAAACTGACTGGTGTCAGTTGACATTATAATATGACAATTAAAACCAAAAATCTTTGACGTAAACGTCTTTAAAAACAATAATATATTAAAAATAATAATATATTAATGCATAAAGTTTTGTATGCATTGCTGGCATAACTGGTTTTTATGGTCCTACGAGGCTTTTCTAGCCCTCGCGCTAACGCGCTCGGGCTCGAAATAGCGCCTCGTACCATAAAAACCTTATTATGCCCTTAATACATAAATAACTATTAAACAAAAAAAAATCATGTATTTTCATCCTGAGGTCTTTTTTACTTCGCTCGATTATTACTTACAGTTTTTCATATAGGGGATTTTTGCTTTAAAACGCAATAATTTTATAAAATCATTTATAATTAATGAACAATTCTAATTTTTTGAGGAAATGGTACTTTTAAACAAAAAAAAAAGAATTCACGTATGTCCATCGTCTTTTTTACTTCGCTCAATTATTACTTTTATTGTTATTTTATTGAAAATGGCATAAAAAAACAAAATATAAGTGATAATTTGCATTTAATGCATAATTAGTGTGCTTTGCATTTCCCGACGCAAAAAAAGTCTCTGGTAAACAATTTTTAAAATACCAAAAATCTAATTATCTGGGTTTTATTTTGTTTATTTTTTGCCATTTTAACTATGTTACTTTCTTTAAAAATAATTGTAATTATAAAAATACAACACCTTACGACTTATGAAAATTTCACCCCTTATAATTTCACATAAAACTTCGTAATTTATATTGTTTTTTTTATTTAATTTTTTTACATAATAATAAATTTTAAATACATATTTTGTAACGAACGGTTTAAGGGGGCACACGTTAATTATTAGAAAGAATATTAAAACCACAAAAAAATTACCTTTGGCCAAAACACGTGATCGTCTAGTTTAAAGAAATTAAATTAGGACCCCTTTTTGTTGTGAATACGGTTCTGGATACGCAAGTACTTGAGCAATTGAAAAGATATTTAAAAAGCAAAGAAAAAGTATTAAATTAAAATAAGTTTATTAATAAAAACAATTAATACAAGAGTTAATATTATTGATACTGTACATTAATAATATAAATAAAAACGATTGTATTTGAAAAATATCATTGATTTAAGTTATTAAGGTAAAACTTTAAAAACCCACATATACAATACAGTCATGCATATATGTCGCACATCTCAACAATATAAATAATACAACAAAATCAAAGAAATCAATATGAATATAATCAATTATATTATTATATTGCCAAGATCATTCACCTACATATGTGTAGAAAAGCAAATACAAATTGAAATAATTATCAATGTACAGCAACAAACAACAATAATGTGAAACATAAAGTATAATATAACTTAGGTCACAAGCAACAATAATAAATGGTATTTGTATAATATAAATATATAAATAACAAGTGGTATAATAGTGGACAACGGTAATGCCATTTAATTGTACAGCCATAAATAACAAATACAATCAGGTATAATCAAGTAATAAAAATATGTCAGTGCAAATCAAATATAGCAAAATAAAATGATTATCAATAATAATAAAATAAGACCATAAAACAACAACTTCATATCAATATCCCTAGCTAACCATTCTTTGTCAATCTAAATTGGTTAACTGTCAATTATTGGCAATTGGGTGCGCCTGTCAAAGCAAAGCTGTATCCACCGACCTTACCAGAAACCATCAACAAAGTTCCCCTTACTAAATAACTCATTTAATATGCAGAACTTGAAACAAAGTCTCACCATATTAAATAATGAATATCAATTTATCAAATAAATAAAATAAGATAAACTGTACAAAATAAAGTATGTAAATGTTAAATATAAATATGTAGTAAAATGTAAAATTACATTACAATATAATATGTTAAAGTAAATGTAATATAAATATAATAATTATAAACATAAAATAATGATTATAATAAATTTGTAATTTGGTTGTCCAACCACAACCATTAAGATAAAACAATTCAGCTTATTTCATCTCTCACAAAGAACAAGTTAAAATAATAATATTAAAATATAGTTTAAATTAAATATTAAATAATTAACCACTGATTGTGATATTTGTGAACTTAGATTATAATAATTAAATATAGAAAAGACATACCTATTTAAATAAACAACACTTTCACAAGAACTGAATTTATATAAAATCAATGTATTATTGGTGAAATTCACTCCCTTGTAAAATTAAAGAATTTAACTCGTCCCTTTAAATAGTAAAACGTAACTGTCTAAAATATACTGTCTTCTCTAAGTTTTAACACGCTCCTTTTATGTTTATTTTATCAAAGCCAAACAGGCCTATCGATATAGTTCATTTGGAACGTAAGAACCTCATCTATGTACCGATATGGCTCAGACATACGTGCGGTTTTGGTAAAGCCGCATTTATAGTTTGACGGAACGGAACGTAGACGTAGACGCACTGGATACGAAAAAAACGGACTGTAAAAAAGTATTCAATTTATAAATCGACGAAACGGACTTTTTTCGCATGCGCCGTCTTGCCTGGATTTAACATAACCCATCTGTTCTTTGACATAACCTACAAATTATTGTGTCTGTGTTTGTTTAATTGTGTTTAATTCTGTTTAATTCTGTTTCGTCTTCCGTGTTACAATGGATTATGAAATACATGAAGGTATACTTTTTGGTGCTGTGGGTCTACTGTTGTGTGCAGCAGCATTGAACAATTGTCGACAAACTCGAAAAACAATAATTAGGCGACCAAGACGTTATAAAACAAGACCCATTAACCGTAACAGAAAAGTAGAGAATGCCTACAATTATTTTTTAAAGATGAAAATGGTTGATCCAGATCAGTTTTTTAAGTATAGGAGAATGACTGTTTCAGTATTTAATGAGTTATTAGGTGTTGTAAAAAACAAAATTTCCAAAAGGAGAATAAAAGACGGGATATCAGAAGAAGAAAGGCTTGCCACAACATTGCAGTAAGTAATAATTCAGATATATGCTCTTAAAATATACTCATAAAATATTATTTAAGCAAACACTTTCTTCCACAGATACCTATCAACAGTTCACAAAATCATCCATGAAACTTGCATTGCAATATGGGATGCTCTTTCTCCAAACTATCTAAAAAGTCCTTCGACTGAACTTGAATGGAAGAATATTGCGAAGAACTTTTTTGATCTCTGGAATTTTCCCAATTGTATAGGAGCTCTAGATGGGAAACATTTAAACATACAAGCTCCTCCAAAGACTGGGACCCTTTTCTTTAATTATAAGAAAACGTTTAGTATTGTGTTGATGGCAGCCTATGATGCCAAGTATGTGTTTACTTTGGTAGATATTGGAGCCTATGGATGGAGGTATTTTTAAAAATAGCGTGTTTGGTGAGCGTCTTGAATCAAAAACATTAAATGTACCTTTGCCTACTGAAATTTCTAACACTGCCATTAAATTTCCTTATGTTGCCGATGAAGCTTTTCCCCTAAAAGAATATATAATGCGTCCATATGGAAAGAAAAACCTGACACTGAAACAGCAGATTTTTAATTATAGACTGTCAAGGGCCCGCAGAATTATTGACAACACGTTTGGGATTTTAGTGGCCAGATGGCGAATTCTCAAGCAAGCCATAATTGCTGATGTAAACAATGTTGACAATATTGTAAAAGCATGTATGGTTCTTCATAATTTTTGCAAACTTAAAACTAAAGGAAACACAGTTACAACCCATTATTGCCCTCCAGGATATGTAGATTTTGAAGATCAGGAAAATGGTACATGGCGAAAAGAAGTTGATAAACCACTAGTCAGTTGGACGTTTATCAGCCAACAATGCTTGTCGGAAGAATATTGAGCTACGAGATACCATGGCAGATTACTTTTCATCACCTGAAGGAGAAGTTTCATGGCAATTAGAGAGGGTACTGAGAGGAAGAGAACCCCAATAATTAATATATTGTTTTAATTTTATTCAATCTTAAATAAAAAAGTAATAAACATGTAGTTTTGTTTTAATTATATAATTATTTAATCATAATACAAAAACTTTAAACTGAAATCATAATACAAAAAAAAATTAAACATAATACTTTATTTTTAATCATCTTCTAAAACTTCAAGAAGTCTTCGCCTTTTTAATTTCTGTTGTTCAGGAGTCATTTCTCTTAAAACACTGGCAACATATTGACCTTTTCAGAAATATTTTTTAAGTGTGCAGTGATTGGATTGGCAGCATCAATGACCTCATTGGACTTTTCATTGTCAGTCGTATTTTTTATGTTTTTTCTTTTTGCTACAATAAAAATAATTCATTAAGTGCAATGAGCATAACAATGTTTTTGTGGACAAAATGTTCAAATATTTTTTGTTATTGCCATTTAATTATTGAGGTAAATTTATATTGGAACCGCTTTCTGCAGATAACCTACCCACAAATTCTTTTAAAATTTTAAAATGACATTAAAACCTTGTTTTATATATTTAAAAGTGTTTAAAGTAATTTTTAAATTCTTCCCATTTTACCAGTTGAAGCCAATTATAAATCAAATATTTTAAAGCAACTGAATACCTACTAGATGAATACTACCAACTCATAATATAAAACTTATTTTATAATTTAATTTACTTCAAAATTAAAATTTGATAATAATGTCCATAAGTGTACATGTGCATTTTGTTTATTTAAATTAATAAAATTAATCCTCACCCTTACTAGCTGGCTCTGCTGTTGGTCTCGGTTGTTCTGTCTCTTGAATTTCAATTACAATGTTCTCAAGAAAATCTTCATTCATAGATTCTTCTTGAGAATCATATACCTCACTTTCATAGTTTGACCGTGGAGACATCAGCATGGAATTATGTGAGGAGCAGCCTGATGAAGTGGCCATTAGGATTGGTGACAGCAAAGGCGAAGTCACAGTAGGTTGTGGCTTCTGTTGTACGATTGGTGTCTTTGTATGTGTTCTAAAAAGTAGGTATTTTTTTAGTAATTAAACTAGCTCATGTTTAATACTGTACTCACTTTCTGGGTTTAACATACGAATTTAGAAAAGACATGGAATCCAAGTACTCCCATTGTGGAGTAGCAGGAGCACCAGAACCAGAAGGCAATGCTTTCTTCTCCCTTCCATACTTATTCCGTAAATTGGTCCAAATTCTTTGGCAATCATTCGCTAGAAAAACAATAAAATACAAAAATATAAGGTGATTTACTTCGATTCATTTACACAAGATAAACATACCTGGAATTCCCAGTTCTTCAGAAATTTGTTGCCAACTATTTTCTTTCATTTGCAGGTCTTTAAAATTCATACTTGACTTATCATACAAGTGAGGATATCCCTGGATCAGGTTAATTAACAACTCAAATTTATCTAAAATATTCAAATTACGTTATGAGAAGTTTTTTGAAAATAAAACTATTATTTACCGTCCATTTTTTAGCACAAACACAAATTTATAACTCTCAGATCATAAAAAACAACTATCAAATGTCATTTATAAATAATATTCGTTATTTTAAAATGTAGGTAGGGTTATGTTTACTGCTTTTCTATTGGCCAGACGTAAGAAACGCACTGTAAAAGATAAATGTTGGCCAACTCTTCCGTTTCAGTCCGTTTTACTTACTTTACGTCATACGCTTACGTTCATTTACAACAAGGGTACATACATTCTATAGTTGATCTTTTTTCAGTGCGTCTACGTCTACGTTCCGTTCCGTTCCGTCAAACTATAAATCCAGCTTTAAGCTGTCTCCCTAGTGCATCACGGGATGCTTAAACACATCAACACGTAGGTCTACAATTAGCGCTCTTTAAGTTATTTACAAATATCATTCTAAGTCAATCGGACTATACACTATTTTTATCACGAAACGACCCTAACCCTTAAATGTCTAGGTTAAATATTGCCCTAATAAATTACATACTATAAACAAAATGCGTATAAATATTAAGTTACTAATAAACAGTTTATACAATTTTAAGATAAATATTTAGAACTAGTAATAAATTAAGAAATGTTAAAATTAATTGCCCCATATATCGTCCTATTACAATTTTAAAAATGTAACGGGTATTTGATTGTCAAATAAGAATGTCTAAAGTCTATTCATTTTTAAAAGTCACTATATTAAACATTTTTATAAAAAATATGTATTTTTAGGTTATATTTCAGTAGATAAGTAAAAATTCTAATTTAAAACCCTCCTGAACCGTGTGCTCGGGCCTGTATTTCATAAGATCATAAAAGGGTCAAAAATGAATTTTAACATAATTTTAGTACAATTTTTAGTAAATTGAACATTATTAATAGTGGGTAGATTTTGTGTGATTTTACATACGAGTATCATCCAGAAAATGCGTTCTAAAATTTTAGTTTGTTATCCATGTAATACTTGGATTTGCATAATGCTGTTTGTCTGCCATGAATCTCGCAAAGCTGGAGGGGGAAAGTCAGGTGACAAAATAAATCGAATATTTGTTCCATTTTTTGTCAGATCGAGTACAAAAAAGAATCGGAAAAAATAAGTAAGGGGGTAGCGGGTTTGATAATTCCATAATCTTCACATAGTCACAAAAAGGGGAAAGGGGGTCACTTTTGAAGATTTTTAGCTTCACAAGATTTATGAAATTCAAAAAAATATAGGTATATTTTTAAACATTTTTTCAGTATTTTAAGTGAAAATTATAGTTTAAAACCATCCTGAGGGGGGTTTGAACACCCCTCACTCTCGCGCACCCCGAGCGCCTTTAGGCAAATACTTAAGGATTTGGCGGAAGGTGTTGTAAAATAAAACAAGGTGGGTCGCTTTTACAAAAATCGTCCCGGGCCGCTGATACTAGTATAGTAAGTATATAAGTATCTAAGTCTCGGTCCACCCTGTATAAAATTTATTAACATTTAAAAGCGGTCATATAAAATATAGGCATTTAAATATATGGATATATTTATTTATTGAGATATTCATTTTTAATACTAAATAAAAATAAAAACAACAAATATTTTAATATAAACTCTGTAATCATTACAAAAAAGCGATGAAATTTTTAATTTAGTTTAATATGAAAATAAAGTAAAAAGGAAGTATTTTATTGAAATATTATTTACATTTTCAGAAAAAAAATTACGTTAAATAAAAAAATAATTAATATAATTATAATTGGTTAACGCCATTTAAAACAAAATTAATAATACGGAAAGGTCGAGAATGATAATTATGATTATATTCATTCTATATTATAATATAATATAATATAATATAATATAATATAATATAATATAATATAATATAATATAATATAATATAATATAATATAATATAATATAATATAATATAATATAATATAATATAATATAATATAATATAATATAATATAATATAATATAATATAATATAATATAATATAATAATTTTATAATTCTAAACTTCTGCAATTAAGAAAATACCCATTTTAGCCCTTATTTAAATGACAGTAATTTTCCACATGTTTATTCTGAGTGGTCGACCTAAATTACTTCGTCTGTAATTTCTCTTGGATCTGTTTCTGAATTTTAGCAGTTAAAAAAGCGTTTAAAGTCGATTTTATTAAAATGGCATTTAATTGGTGAACAAAATGGCTTATAATTAGTAGCGGGGTTATTTTTTTAATTCTACATTCACTTTCCCACATGTTCACTAATGTTAAATTGTATGTAAACATTAACTTGTCAAAATTAATAAACATTAGATCTGTCAAGGCAATACTTAATATTGACAGAATATTGCCGTGCATCGCACTTATATTGGTTAAAAATCTGTATCGGAATGAAACATTTATATCATAATGGATCTCATTATAGTACAGGTAGAAAATATCTAATTTTAGATTTTTTTGCCTGGGTCTCTTAAAAATGTAATTTTTTCTAATTTCAAGGTTTCAGGTAATAGTGTCGACTTCTGAAAACGCAAAGAGATAAATATGCGCACTTTAAACCGTAAGATGGGTTTGCTACGAATTTCGGTCATCTGTCCAAAGTCACCCCACATACGGGGAGATTCTGGACAGCGTACGGGGTTCATTTGGACACTATAAAAATATTATAAATTTAGGAATTTTGTTGAAAAAATCAGTGCAAAACTTATTCAATTCTAAATTGCGACAAATCAAAATTAAAGTAAATCATGTTACGGAATCAAACTTCGTCAGTGGGGGGAAGAACCAATACCACGTCCTTAATATCCAGCAAGGCTTCATCTTCATCTGTTTGTTTAAATCTGTATTATGGAAACTCCCTTTTAAGGAATTTGACTGTATATTCTTGGTTTAATTTTTGTAATATTCTGCTAACGTAGTGCCGAGACTATGTTTGGACAATAGAGAAAGACTCTAGACAGTGTGTCCAAACTCTCCCTACATGATGTGGAGCAAAAAAAATGTTAATAATTTTAAAATATAGCAACGGAATAAAGTAAGGATATAACCAAAGTTTCATGCTTTATACATGCTTAACTACATGCATAAACTTTTCCACTTACCTCTTCTACAGCCAAACTCAAACTTATTTCACTACCACTATTTGATACCTTACCAACTTGACGATATGTAATAGTAGTACCAACCTGAAATTTTTACTGGAACCGCTAAATTTAAAAGTGTGCATTGCCTCCCAGTGTCCAGACCCTCCCCACTCTCCCCTACCTATTTTGACATTTATGTTTAGTAATTTCTAAAAAATCATTGTGAATAGATTAAAATTAGAAAACGCTTCGTAGCTTTTAAAACTTGAGGTTAGAAAAAAACGTGAGGGTGCCGGCAAAATTCCGCGGATTCGGATTCAGCAAACTCAAACCCATAGGATAAACTGCTCCAGTCCGTCGGACATCCTTCTTTAATTTTTTTTGGGACTGTTTAATTATACTTTAATATGATTATTTTTTTTAAACTAGTGTGAAAAAAAGTTAAATGTTTTATAATTTGTTATTAATTTTTAGTATGTTTTTATATTAAGAGAGTCTAAGCTTTTATTAAAAAAGATTAATATTTATTTTTATTTATTAATAGTTTTATTATTGTAACAAACCTTGATGAAATATCTGTTCAAACATTTATTTCAGGATTTAACATTTAAATTTACAAAATGACCTAGATTTAAAAATATTTTTTGTGTAGTCAATTAACTTTTGTTTTTATTAACAGCATCATGCGTTATCGAAAAGAACAAAAATTTAAATTTAATAATTTAAATCAGTTGATAAAATTGTTTCAGCGTTGTGCATACATACTTCCAGGGCAGGGCATCGGATTATTATTTATAAATAATGACAAATGTACGTGTCCGTTGGTTGCAAAATTGTGCCCGGCACTTTTGAACTACTTCATATTTATATTATACCAACCTAAAAAAGATACATGTGTTTTTGCAGAGATAATTTAAGGCTTATAAATGCAACTAACCTTTTGCTAAATTCCTAGTTTTCGGCAATGTGCAGAAAACTGTTTCACATTTTTATGTTGTTTAACTTTGTTTTTAGTATTTCTAGATAGCACTGTATGTCTAGAAATGACAGGTTAATTGTTTCGACCTTTACTTGATGTAGTCTCTAAAAATGAATTAGTCAAAAATGACAAATTGTCATAGCGAAAAATCAGCCACTAATAATTCTCGTCAAAAGCAATTTATATCCCGAACATTTAGCATTCAATTTCCATGCAAAATTGTCCACTGAATCTAAAAATGTTGTCAAAAGTAGTAGAAAAGTATAACAGTTTGTGAGATATAGTCAATTTTTCATACAATACCCCCGTGTCGCGTAAATATACGGTATCCAGTTAAGTTTTTAATTAATCGAAAACTACTCGTCGGTAATTTTTTTTTTGGATTTTTTACTTAAAATATCCTACTAGAGGGCCATTTCTGGGAAAACCTATATTTTAATATATCATATTATTATTATACAATATATTATATTTTGGAAGTCATATATTACAATATAAAATATATTATGTGCATCCAGTCTCTTCAGGACTAAAAAACACATTTTTTAATAGTAAGGTATCAAAAACAAGTTTACCGATCGACGACAATGTCTCTACCGCGCATGCCTACGGCAATTAAAATTAAAATTGCCGTAGGCATGCGCGGTAGAGACATTTTGATGAATCTCTTTCAATTGCCGAACATCGGTCCGGATGAAATTTTATCAGTGTTGTTCCCAGCGAAAAAAAAAGCGTAACAGATTTTACAAAAAAAAGTAATAGATCCCTATAAAATGTAATAGATCGCCATTTTTGAACTACCTATCATTATAAAAATAAAAAAAATTGTTATTTCATAAAGGTAAAGAGGAGGGGGATTTTTAAAACAATAAAACATCCAAAGACATTATGCATGTTTTGTGAATAAAGATTTTATTTAAATATTTGTCAACAAAACACGTTCAACTATGGGTTATTTTATTTATAACTTATTTTATAATGATAAGTTTTTATTTTATGTATATTGCAATAAAACACTGTCAACTTAATGTGTTTTTATAAAATCATATTTACGATATTTAGATATCGTATATATATATACTATAATATGTACTATAAACAAAATGTAACCAAGAGGAAATGCGACGTGAGCAAGTTTCTTTGTGTTTTCAAAAGACCACACAAGAGGTCCAGAACTGCGTCATATTTTTTTTATATTTAAAAAGGGCTGACCAAAGATTATCTTTGGGCTGACCACTCAGTTTTTTCTGTAAGAGTGGCAGTCTGCTCTTGTTATTTTAGTTAGTTATTCATTAGCATTCAACCAAGTATCATCTCTGTATTAAAATAAATACATCTCATTTAATAAGTTGTGTTTATTGAACAACGTTCCTGTTGCATAAAAATCCAGTCAACCAATTTTGCATACGGAGAATGTTTTCATGGATTAGGGGAAACGTACTTAAGCTCAGTACACAGGTAATTGGTAGGTACTTACTTATCCATTTTATCTACGTAACACTAAAGTATAATAATATTATGTATACTTTTAAGTTGTAATTATTCTGTGAATACCACAAAATACATAGGCAAGGTTTTTAACTCGTCTACGAAAATGATGTTAGCTAACTTTTTTACAGGGACTTCGTATTTATCGTATTCGGAAAACGGCATTCCCTTTGTTTTCCTAGCGTTATATATATAATTATTGTTAAAAAAAAAAACGGACAAATCTTGAAAATGTAATAGATTTATTAATTTTGTAATGACGTAATAGATTTTTGGACGTTGTAATAGATCTATTACAAATGTAATAGACGGAACAACACTGAATTTTATTGCCGTTTAACGGCAATCCTGGGATGAAATTTGGTAACTTTTATGTTACCAACCCTACTACAAATTCCCTAGAGAGACACTGTTTCACTTAAAGAGTTTAATGTTATTTGTTTTATGAATGGCGTGTTCAAAGTTCCATTCCATTCCATCCATTTTACTCATTAATTTTTAAATATCTCTACCATATAACAAATAAACATAGTGTTAACAAAATCGTATATTTTTCTTTGGTTGGTAGCAGGGTAATAAACAGCAAGTGGTCTTGCCATTTCTGACTGTAAAACAACATGCAATAGGGCCTTGAAAACTTGATGGCAAGAAAAATTGCTGCAAGAAGAATTGCCGTCTGTAATACGGCCTTATTACAAATTCCTTGAGTTGTTTTGAGCACGTTTTTGTCAAAAGAAACTGTTAACAATGTTTTGAATTTGTCGTTATGGATACGCTTGTAATTAAATGTCTTAATCTCACGTTATTGTCGAACGCGCGTAACAAGCATTTAGAATTTATCTTTTATTGATAAAACACTTTGAGTGATTCTGAGAAAAAAGAAAATACAGGCATTAAACATTCGTAAGAAATAGGACGTTTCTCTATATAATATATATAGTATATATATATAAAGGTCAATACAATGCTATAGAAAAACTAGAACTATCAAGAAGTGATTAAGGAAAGCAAGAAAAATAACTTAACCGAAAAGTCCTGTCTAGTTGGCATATTTTGTCTAAAGAAATGCCAAATTTAGGTATTGTAGTTATTTTTAATAAAATTATCTAAAAAATGCCGTCTTTCTGGGCAGATTATAATTATAATATAATATACTTAAGTAATCTACTTTCCAATCAGATAACGCTACGGTAATAAAATTAGTACCGACGCGTCGCGACGCGAAGATATGTTTTTTCCCATCTGTTTCCACCACTCCATCAGATTGGCGAATAGGTTGGAGCACCCAGTCGCCATATTGACTATTTACATTTTGATGTAAGTTGTTTTTTAAGCTATTTTAAATTTTTTTTAAGTGTAAAAAATATCTACCTTCCAAGTGAAAATCTGTAAAAACAAGCTAAAAGAAAAAAAACTGGAAATAAATTTTCTTAGTATGGGTTAAAAAAATCATTACATTTAAGATGTGGCACATGTGGCACATGTCCGACGTTTTTGTTCTAGATTTTATTGTTATTTCATTTTCAAAGTTTAATTTCTTATTTTGCGATTTTTTTTCCATTCTAATTGTTTTCTTCAATAATTTTTTTGTTTCGTTGGCATCAATTGAACCAATTACCATCATTCTGGCACCTCGCTGATCTTGAAGAAAGTCACTTTATGGTCTTTACTGCAAACACATTGTTCAAAGTTCTCACATTTACACG